AGTTTTTGTTCTTCCGATGGAATCTGGTGTTTTAAATTGGACTCTTTTGACGGTACCAAAGGAAGTACTACTTATTCAATCATGTTTGCGAATCGAGTATCTACCGTACAATCATCTGTTGATAACAAACCTGTTTGTGATATTTTTAACCTTTGTACATGGACTATTCCAAATCACGGATTTGACATGTAATATCGAAACAAAATAGATATTTTATCTCTTATAAAAGTCATTATTAATTGTTATTTTTGACCAAATAGTTTAGGAAAAAATATTTAATGTTATTTAGTAATTGATCTTTTTGACTATGTAAATAATGAAATATTATATGTTAATTAATTTTTTTTTATATACAAATATTCATAAATAGATTATGTAAAATTCTACTTCATAGTTATATTTTTTTACTATATTGAATGACATTTCTTTTGTTTAAATAAAATGATATTATAGCCTTATTGAATTATAATTACTAATATGGGTAAATCATATGATCCGTACAAATCGTGTACCCCGATGTCTCATTCACGCAGTAACCAGCTGTTACTTTTTAATATTTTGATGTCTCCGGCAATATGAAGAATCCTCAGGGCTTAAATTTGTTGACGAAGAAAGCAAACATTATTAATGGACCGGCACTGCAGAATGTTGCGATACTTCTTTTGAGTATGGCATTTTTTAAACTACTTTGTCATTTTTATTTAGTGGCGCAACATTATCGCGGAATTTAATTTTTTTTCAAAATTTCAAAATTTTAATTTATAGATAATTAAAATAAAATGTTAATTTTTGCTAGTTTAATACAAAATGTTTTTTCATGGTTGTTCAGTCCCAAGAGTAGGTCAACCAATCGGTCAAAATCGGTCAGAATCGGTCGGTCAGATGCTTTTGACCGACCGATATCGGTCACGGTTATGACCGGTTATGACCGTGACCATTAGCATCCCTAAATACATCTTTTCGATAATTTCGTTTTCGCCATTTTTAACCTCATAAGTTTTAAATTGTAACTTCGTTTATTAGTGATTAGCTTAGCATATTGACATTGCGAAAAATAGCGCCGACGTTGAGGCAACACTGTTTAATTGATATTATTAAATAAATTCATCGTCATAATATTTCTTTAATTAAATCCTTCTGCTTTTATAAATACATAAACGAAGGAACTGAATGCAACAATAGATAATGGAAGAAAAATTTTTTAGTTTTGAGCAAACAAAACTATTATTATCTCATAAAAACAGGAATGTATATAATTATAAAAGACGCAACGATCAACATAAATATCATTTCGAGAATAAATGGTCATTGTCAGCTGATGATTTTGTAATATCCAAGTTTCGTATAAATCATTTCGTAATTAAAGAATCGGAGAAAATAACGTTATGGCTGCAAGAATTGGAATTGGTTTGGAAGAAAATGAGAGCCTTAAGCAACAACATAAAGTCCTTCAAGAAGAAGATCGAGAAACTTTATGTATTAATTATGAATTGAAAGAAGAACTTCAAGAAAAGATCTTCAACAAACGTTCTAAATTTGGTAAGTCATAAAAATGAGTTTGAAATAACTTTTCAAACGTTAGAAAAATCTCTAGAAATGTTTGGATTAGACGATGTTAATGAGAATAACAATAAGATTCTTGAAGAAAAAAATAAAAAAGAAACAACAAAATTTCCTTTAAACGATAATGATAGTATTCAACTTGCAAAAAATATTACAAATTCCTCCGAAAATTCGTGGAGCTCTTATAATACAGGTATGTAGTAACAAATAGAAGAATTGATTGAATACAATTTTATCATGACCGAATTTATCATAAATTTTGAAGATAACATTCGAATCGTGGTTGGATTAGACTTTGAAACAACTTACTCTGGATTTGCTTATGGCCATTTTTCGAATTCACAACAAATAATTAGTCATACACGGGACCATTTTTATTTCAAACTTGTAAAGCTCTTGAATATTATGATGAATATATGAAGTAATATCGTGGGGCCATTCAGCTAAATGAAATAAAAATAATAATAAGCCTGTTGAACTGTTTAAATTACATTTGATCGATATACTGGATGAGCTTAAACCGAAGCTTTCAGTTGGATATGAAAAGGCTATTACTGATTATCTTAGAGAAATTGGACAGGCATGATTAAAAATAATCAAAGTCATTAGTATGTTATTATTTTCAATTTCTTGAATGAAATATTTAAGGCGATTAAAGATGACCTTTCATGACACTGTGATTCTTTAAATTATTATAAGGATGTATTATTAGTTCTTATGTGTCCCGCTGAATATTCGGAAAATGCAAGGTCGATTATGAGAGAATGTTTATATAATGCTGGGTTGATTGTAGATAAATGTTCAAGTCAATTGCAATTGGTTACAGAAGGTAAGAACATTCGCTATTGATTACTTTATTCTCTTGATCTTTATTTTCTTTTTTAATATGATCATTATTAGCTGAAGCTGCTACGATATATTGCTTGGACCAGCTTCAAGAACATGAACTTGAAACAGGAAGTATGTTAAAAATTATATCTAGTTATATTTTAATTTAAAATTCCTATCAAAGTAATTTACAGCAAATTAGGAAGCACTTATATTGATAGAGAATTTATCATGTATTTAAGTAGAAAAGTTGGACATAATGCTATGGAAATGCTCAGAAAAAACCATTATATACATATGCATAATTTAACTCAAGGATTTATTAATCAATGTAAATCGCTTTTTACTGGAGAATACCAAGACTTTAGTACTTTTGTATAGGATCTCGAAGAATTTGCTCCCGTGATAAAACAATACATTACTGATGAGAATAAAAAACATTTGGAAGCGGAGGATTGGTTAATTGAACTTAACTTTAATGACATAAAATCAATGTTTGACCCTGTTGTTAAAAATGTTTTACAGTTGATTCATGCACAACTTAATAGTTCGCCTGAAACATGTTCGGCGATGTTTTTAGTTGGAGGTTTTAGTGAACCAAAATATTTGCAAAAGAGAATTAAACAAGAATTTCAACATAGAGTACGTATCATTTTATTTCATAGTAATCCTACGACTGCAATTGAACTTGGAGCTGTGATGTATGGGTTATCTTCTATGAATTCAGATTCAAATGTTATTGCTTCAAGAATTATTAAATATACTTATGGTGTTAAAGTAAGAGAATGCTAGGTAAGTAATTAATCAATATCATTCATACATTTTAATATGCTCATGAACTCATATTTCACATGTACTTTAGACGAAAGACGATCCAATTCATAGAAAAGTCAATGATGGGCGCATTGATAAATTTGATTGTTTGGCCAAACGTGGTACTCCAATGAATGTTAATCAAGAAATTACGTGTTCTTATTTACAACTTTATCCTACTCAACAAAAGTAGTCTTTTATCTATATTATACTATTTTGATGCCAAATATTGTGATGAGCCTGGAATGAAACTTTTAAGAAAGCTTACCATGGATCTTTCCTGGCTCAGGTCTCGATAATCTTTCTTTCGGATTGGCTTTTGGACAAATGGAAGTTACTGCCACTGTAAAAAATGAAAATAACAAACAAATATCCAAGATTAATTTTAAATTTGATGCCAATTAAATATTTATAAATATTTTGGTTGATGAGAGTTTATTTTTATTTAGAACACTATTATTTTATATCATATTTTTTAAAGTTATCTTTACTGGTTTATCCGTTTATTTCTTTAGTATACATAATAAATCGTTATACCTTAAATCTTTTAAAATATTAGAGAAAATTCCGTTGTTTTTGATTCACGAGTCTTTTGCAAGTTAAATCAAATTCCTAAATTTTATTTTGTACTAATAAAAGTGGTAATGAGGTAGTGTTAATATTAAAATGATATCATTACAGTTTTTTTTTAAATTTGAACGATGTAGAAAATTGATCTAAAATCTATTTGATTTGGTCAAATTTTTCGAATTAATTGTATGCATGATAATGATTCCATTTAAATCCCTCTGAAAATATTATTTAATGTAGTTAAATTAAAAGATATAAATTCGTTCAAAATTTCAAAACAACACAAATTCTTTATTTAGTAAAAAATACTAGGCAAACCCCTGAATCCCAGGCAAATTGAAACCTTGGAAATCTTGGAGCTGGGGTTCATCTTCTTGGATACCCTTTTTAAACTCTTCCATTTGCATTCGGGAATAATTTTAGACAGTTTCGTCAATTTCGATGGATATCGATGGGTTTTGAAGGATTCGTTGAATTTCGATGTTTTCGATAATTTTAACGATTTTTTGATTCATGATTTCAATATAATTAAATTTGCAAGTTGGATTTCGAGATCTCTATACTTATTAATCAATATGATCAAGCAAAAGACTAAAGCTATCATCCTTGGTGTAAGATAATTTAATTTTTTTCACAATTAAAAGTTTCTAATGCACACTCTTAGTGTGATGCTAATGGTCACTATGATTTAATAATAAAAACACTTTGTATTAAATTACAAAATCAACATTTTATTACAAATGCATCGTTGAGACCAGTACTGATTTAACGCAAATTACCATTTTCTTAAATTAAAGTTTTGAAATTTTGAAAAAAATTAAAGTCCGCGATAATGCTGCGCCACTAAATAAAAATGACAATATAGTTTTATTTGCTCAATAATATTACTATTAACCGTCGGTCAACTGGTCAGTTAAAATCGGTCAGTTAACTGGTCGGTCGCTCAATGGCCTTTGAACGACCGTTGACCGACCACGACCGACAGTTACCATCCCTACACACTCTACAGCCCAAGCCCCAAACTATGTATCTCAATAATTATATCTATTCGAAAATACCTTTATTTTCTAATGCGAACACTTTGGATGTTCAATTTACAAGCATCATATGCTCGTACAACTTTCCCAATATCTTCATTCAATAAGATTTGATCCAAGGTAAGTAACCGGTTCAAAAAAGCGCGTTAAAAACTTTATCACGACCTACTTTGAATTCCCTGAATGCTGTAGTGTTATTTCCAGTGCATCAGAAATCTATTGCAACTAAATGACTCTATATCTAAAAACCTCATATACTGGGTCACAAATGGTTTTTTTTTTTATGAGTACGAGAAGTGCTGCGACAAAATTCCATAGTATTAACTAATACTTCAACTAACTGTTAGAAAGAATTTCATCTTCTGTTCTGTAAATGACATTGTATCAACAATTTTATATAGCAATTCTGGTGAATAATTATTTTTTGCAATTCTTTTCTAAGGTATTCCTAACAGTCTTCGAAATAAAATCTTGAATGTCCGGTAATCCGCAACAATAAAAGCTTCACGATATTTTCATTTGGTTAAAAGATTCTTGTTTAACTACAAATTAATCAATTTCGTCATAAAACGTAATTTAAAAGTCATAAATTTAAATGATCGGCACGTGGATTGTTTGATTATAAATATTGTTTATCGTCTATTTCACTCCCTTCACTCTCTTAGACAACCGAAATTATGACGGGCAGTTATGTTGAAAAATTTGGAGTAGGTGTTGAAAAATTAAACAATAAATTGACAAATTTATTAGAAGAAAATAAGAGGCTTAAACAACAACATAAAGAATTTCAAGAAGAAAATCGATACATCTTACGTAAAAATTCGGAATTAAAAGAACAACTTCAAAATATCAATGACTATCGTCATTTAGAAATCAATTAGAAGAAAGTGAAATGATAGAAATATTAAAAAAAGAACTCCAAGAAAAAGATGAGCAATTGAAAAAGCATCAACAGCAAGATTTTAATTTTGAAAGACAAAAAAATGAAATGCAACAACTCGAAATGATGTCTCAAAATTTAGAAAAAACTCTAAAAATGTTGGAATTTGAAGAACTTCCTTTGTGTGGTTGTGATGACAAAAGTATTAAATCTGCCAACGAACCTTTTAGAAAAATCAAAAAACACGAGAAATTGTTTTCGAGTATGTATCAATTTTATATACTATATCTTTGATTATTTATTTTTATAAGTGAAACTTATTCAATATATTTCATACATTTTTAGTTGCCCGTCCAAGAACGCTTAATTTTACTTATGGAATTAAAGTAAGAAATCAATGGGTAAGTCTCTTTATTATTAATAATAATATTTGTTTATTTTATAGTTAAGATTATTTTACTTTTACATTAGATGCCAAGCGACCCGATAAATAGAAAAACCCATAATGGGCATATTATTCGTTTTGCTAGTTTAGTTCGTCGTGGTACAGAGATAATTGCTAGTCATACAGTTTGTGCTTTATATCAACTGCTTTATCATAATCAAACTGTTGCAGAATTTAATATATATTATACTCAACAAGATGATCCAAAATATTGTGATGATCCTGATATGGAGTTTTTAGGGCAATTTTCTATTGAACTCCCTATATTATGCCATCATGAACTACCTAAATTATTACTAGAGATTACTTTTTATAAAGAAAATATTGATGTTGCTGTAAGGAATCTAATGACCGAAAAGATTTTTAAAACTTGTTTTCAGTTTTGCGAGGAAGATTATTAAAGTATGTTTTAATATGAAATTGGATTTGACATTGACGTTATTGCTGAAATAAATTGTCTATAATTTGGGTATTCTTTCGTAATTAATTTTAATTATGAATTTCAATCGACGAAATGATTTATAAAATTATTTTTGAGGCGAAACTATAAGAAAAAATTTGTTCCTTCTCCTTCATTATCAATTGTGATTTATCAAAAATGACATTTCGTTATTTTAATTTTAATCTGGAATCAAACAATTAAAAATAATAATTTTTTTTCGAAGATTCCAATATACAAAGTTTGTTTATTCGTAAGAAAACCGGTACGGTATATCCGATTTTCCATATACCCAACTTTTCATGAGTTCAATGAATCGTGTATCACAAAAAAAAATAGTCACCTTTAGAACCTTTATAATTGAGAGTCATTTCGAGACGAGATGAAAGTGTTCAAAAAAAAAAAATATATTTATAATTTATTTAAATTTGGAATCTTTTAACTTTTTATGCCAATAAATTTTTGAATAATTAAAATTTAATTCATGATATTTTAAATTATATAACTTGAAAATTGAGTTCTAGGGATAGAGTCAATTCTGGAACAAATTCTAAATTCATTGTGTTTACAAACCATTTTTACCCATTTTAAAAATTGAACTCCGAATAGGCTCAAAAGAGTTGATAAGCTATCAAAAAAAAATTTTTTAATTAATCAATATTTGTAATATTTAACTAACGCTCAAAGTTTTAATTTATTTTAGGTGAGTTGAAGCAAATCCGAATTTTTGAACGGGAAGGCCAAATAATAAGGTTCTAAATTGTATAGCCAATTGAAAATGAAGAAATATCGTTTCATTGGAAATATTTTATACTCAAGTCAAAATATATATTATAATATATGGTTCAGAAAGATTGCTTGAAATCATAATGTTAAATGATAAACTTTAAAAGCATCATTAAAGGGTATTCTTTCAAACTGTGATGGAATTTATACGATTATTAACAAGATAACAATTCAAATGCAAAAATTATAATAAAGTTATATTTCAAGTATTGAAGTTTTACTTTAAATTTATTTTAAAGTTAGTTTGAATTCGAGTTTATAAAGATTTTTAAGGAGGAATTTATATTGGGGAGTTTATTATGCAATCATGTCATAGGAAGGGTAATAAAAATGAGCCGCACCCATTTCACTGGCAAACGTTTCACCGACGATTATTTCACCGACACAATCATTTCGCCGACACGATCATTTCGTTCTACCGACGATCATTTCACCGACATTCCAAAAAAACATAAGTTAAAAAATTACAATAAATGCTATAATTTATATTTTTCAATAAATTTGATTATTTATTCCGAAATATTTTTATTTATTTATTAATTGCCATCTAAATTAATATTTAACATTGATAAAAATGTAAATTTACTATAATTAACATATGACCGTTGAATTAGAAAATTCCTTTAAATGTGAAGTTTTATTTATTTTATTTTTCTATTAATGATTCATTTATAATGTAATATTTAATAAAAAAAAAAAAATAAATAAATAAATAAACTGTCGTCGAAATGATCGTGTCGATGAAATAATGCTGGCGGTAAAACGTTTGTCGGCGAAATGATTGTGTCGGTGAAATAATCGTTGGTGAAACGTTTGTCGGTGAAATGATCCTGTCGGTGAAGTGTTTGTCGGTAAAATAATGGTCGGTAAATCGTTTGTCAGTGAAATGAACCGGACCCGTAAATCCAATGGTATATATTATCAATTATCTCTTAAAATAATGATATCTCCCAATGAGACGCGAATTACCTAAATTTATTAATTTATTAATAAGTAGATTAACAACTCATCTTTCGATTATGATTTTGGCTCGCTTCCATTTTTTTTTTTTGTAATGATTTTTCAACGCTTAAACAGTCGAAGCAACTTATCAATAAAAATGAGTTAAACATTCACAAAATAATACTCTATCGGTTTTCTTGGAAAGTGTTATATTTCTTTGTAGAAGTATCATGCTCCTTTGAAAACTATCTATTTATTATTATTATTATTATTATTTGTCAATTGAGTGTTATATTGCAAATTGTTCGTAATCATTACATTGTTAATTATATTGAAAGATTTTTTTATTACGAATAAATTCAATATGTCATTGCAATTTCTAAGCCGCAAGAAAATATGCAAAGGGACCATTTTTTAGCTTCTTATTCTTGATTTTGCAGAATATCTGTAAAATCAAATATCTTATAGTAATTTATTTGTTTTTCTAACAAAAGTCATTTCATTTACTTTTACAATTATTTAAATGCTTACAGATTTCTTCCGATGTCCCTACTTTGAGATTTATATCTCTCAGTAAGCAAATTATATGGTTTCTGCTCTTCCAATGATAATAAACATTTGTTTACAGTAATTTTTAATTTATATTATCTTTAACTCATTTAATTAAGATAATTTTTTTTTTCACAGTCAATATTAAATTAATCAATTTTATTGAAGGTTTTGAATAAATTCGCATATTGCTTAAATTAGTGTCCCATTTTGTGAAAATAAACCGTTATAAATAATAAAAGTAGTACAATGATGAGTATATGGAAAACCGGTACGGTACGATTCGCCAGACCCGTACGGTACGATTATGCAGATCAGTATTTTTTCGCGGGAAATTTGAATCGTACCGTACCGGTTTTCCATTATTCTGTGCAACATGTTGCGTCGTTCAAATGATAAAGCTTTCTTCTGGGTTGCTGCACCGCTTAAACGATAGGTATCCATATTTTTTTTCGAAATTAAGTTGCGTTAGTTAAATAATAGGTTACATTTCAAGCTCAATATTTGATTAAACAACAATTAGACATTTTCTTTGTTGTTCTCAATTAAAGTAAAACTTTTTTAACAGTTGATAAGCTATTCGTCGTATTCCGATCGTAAATGATTATTAGTCAAACTACTTCTGGAAGCAACAATGAATTTGGAAATAAAATCTTTCTATTGCGTAAAGTCATCACAAGCTTCAAATTAATTTCAACTAGAAGGGATCGCATATTGTTATCTTAAATAATGATGTCAGATAAGTAATTTACTTAAAATAATTGTTAAAATGCTGGTCTTTCGATTGTTGTTAGAGATAATTACTTAAAGCAGCTCACCTTCGAAAAGCTTGAACGCATCAAGAACCGTAGAAGTTGCAAGAAAGGTCGAAAAAGTGCTGGTTTCTATAATACCACGAGAAATAAAGATCTTTATATATTGTAACAAAAACAAAGAAAAATACTAATATTTCGGAAGAAAATACTCAAGACATGGCAACAGCGTTTACAATTTGCACATTTATTTTGGGGAAGTAAAGCAAAATTAGCGAGATAATTTTTTCATGACTATAATTTTAATTCAATGAAATTTTAGATAATACTCAATGCATTCTTTAATTTCATTAATACTAGAACGATTTTAATCATATTAAATAGTTGATTTTTTTTTAAGAAGAGCTTGCATCTTTGAGAATTGTGTTGATTAATTGATCAACATTTCAGTAAATTCCTTCGATTGTGCAAAATATCGATCTAAATGTTACTTGATAAGCTAGCCTATCTTCAACAGTTTGACTTTATAAGTGTAATAACTGATGAATTAGTTAAATGTTCGTGATATATCGTGATTTTCTGCGTCGAATGATGCCAGAAATCTCATGTCCATGTTGAATGACGGTCACAAAAAAATAGTGTAGTGCTAAATACACACAAATCCGCCTATTATAAAATAAAGTAAGAAAAAAATTATTGCGGCACTTACTTTTTGTGCTCCTTTATAATTAAAAATTAACAAAATCTAAACTGAAGGTATGATTTTTTTTTTTTTTTTACACTATCTTCTCAATTAGAATGTAGCTGTTTTATCTCTAGTATGATTTAATTTAAGAAAAATATTATATTATTTTATTTTAAAAAAAAAATTATATAACGAATCGTTTAAACTGAATTCCGTGCTGCGGTTTATTATAGAACATAAAACCCTTGAATCATCTTCTTTAACATTTCAATTGCCTGAATAAAAACTTGACTTGTAAACCTTGATAAAATCTAAAGCCCCGTCAATCAATCATAATGAATTTGGCAGATATTTATAAACTTTTCACATGTCGAAAATTTATTATCATAAATTATTGTAAAATCATAACATATTAAAAAAAAATTTATATATTTTTTTTTGCACTTTCGCAATATAATTTTCTAATACCTAAATAATACTTCAAAAAACAGGTTAGAAATCCTCAAAAAAATTTTCTTTTACTTTCTAAACTTTCTCAAGGTCCTTCCTTACTTCTCAAATTTCACAACAATAACAGTCTTTACCTTCTAACATTTTATAACAAAACTTACCTTTACCTTTTAAACTTTCATTTTTAATTCTATAAGCTTACAAATCCACCTTTACTTCTTAATATTTACAATAAAATTTACTTTAATATTCTCAAATTTCATAACACTACAAGGAGTTTATAATTATATGAAAGTTTCACAAGGTCATTACTCCTTTTTATATACAGAAACTTTAGAAATGAACCAATTTTATTTAACAAATCCTTATTTTAATTCAATACAAAAAAGGAGCAATCTTTGTTAATAAAGATTCAACTTTTAATATTTTTTTTTAAAAAAACAAATACAATTTTTTAAAAATATATAGTTAATTAATGCATTTAATTTTAGAGAAAAGTAAATAGTAATGATTCTTTGAAAATAAAAAAGAAAAAGAAAAGGAAAGCATTATTATCAAGTGTAATTTTGTCTGAAAAAAGTGTAGAAGAGAGTGAATCAGAAATTACAAAATGGAAAGATAATAAAATTAAACTATTTCTTAATAATATTCAAGAAAATTATTCAGCTTAGTTAAGTGAAAATAAAACTAAATTTTATGAGGCAATGGTTAAAATATATTTACTTAATATATTAGTGAGTAAATTAAAAATAAAATTGGGAATTTATTGCATAGATATGATTAGGGATGCTAATGGTCACAATCATAACCGGTCATAATCGTGACTGATCAGTCAAAGGCTTCTGATTGACTAGTTGACTAACTGATTCTAACTAATTTTAACCAACTGGTTGATCAACTAATTTGAGACTGAATAACCATGTTTTTAATAGTAAAAACATTTTATATTAAAATTAACAAAATCAAAATTTTATTTTAATTATCTATAAATTAAAATTTTGAAATTTTGAAAAAAAAATTAAAGACTGTGATAATACTGTATCACTATATAAAAATGACAAAGTAGTTTAAAAAAATATCATGCTAGTATTATTAAAGCAAAAATCAAAATTATAATATTTGGTTAAATTAAAACTTTTTATTGAGCCAAAACTGCTTAATTATATTATTATTAACTGATCAGTTAATTAGTCATTTAAAATCAGTCAGTTATCCAGTCGGTCAGTTAAAGGCCTTTAACTGACTGTTAACTAACTATTGACTGACTATGACCAACTATTACCATCCCTAAATATGATAGTGTAAAACATAAAAAAATCAAACAGGTATAAGTAGAATTGATTAAAAATTATATGATCATATGAATGAAATTTTTTGGTTATAAAGAAATAACTGCATTAAGTTTTTTATTAATAATATAATAGTTAATATTGATTTAATAAATATAAAATTAGAAAAATCTGAAATAAAAAATAAAAAACAAAAATAACTCTTGATTTTTTAGGTGATACTATTTTAGTTTTAGTAATGGGTATGTCAAGAGAAAAAATATGAAAAAAAATATGAGTTACAAGAAAAGAACTCAAAATGAAAAAGGATTTAAAAAAGCAAAAACTTAAAGTTGAAAAAATAAAAGTTTAAGCTGAAGTAGATAAACTTAAGTTATAATTAAAACATGAAAGACAATTAAAAAATTGGAATATAAATATATAAATATATTAATAAAAAAATTACAATATATATTTTCTCATCATATTATTTCTTTTTTATTGACTTACTAATTATAATGCATTATTTCTATTACTATTATTACTTTTATCAATAATATTATGTTCTTCTTTTTCTTCATCTAAATTTAATTTCTATCTTTCTTTATTAAGTTTTAAAACATTATGTAAAATAATAACACATCAGTAAAAAGAAATAAATATTTAAGTTTTTTAACAAAATATTCTTTTAATCATGTAAATCTAGATTTTAGGTGACCAAATGTATTTTTAACTACAACTTTATGTGATAAATGCATAATATTAAATTTTTTCTTGTAAATTTAAAGATAAATGAAAGGAGTAATACAAAATTAAGAAATAAAATATTCAGAATCATCAAGTAAAAAATTATCATTAATAATAAATTCATTTTTTTATTTATAAAAACTTGAATTTTTATAAATCTTTGCATCATGAACAGAATCTAATCATCCAATATTATAATTAATAAATATATCCTAAAATTTACAATTTGTTGATAATGTATTGAATAATATTTTTTCTATTAAAGTATAATTCTAGTGAATTAGAAGGTTTTTTTATTTAAAATAATATATATACTATCTATAGCATCAATAACATTTTCAAATCCTTTTATTAATTGAAAGCCTTTATGTATATAATTTCTTTTTTCTCCTTTTGGCTATTAAACAAATAAATTCTTTTATGCAATAATAGCTTTAATAATTCTTTTTATATATAAAATAACTGTTTCTTTTCCAATATCAGATTTTTAAATAAATATTAAAAATATCTGATCTACTTCTAATTCTATACAGAAAAATAACCAATTGTAATTTCACTAGTTCTTATTTTTTTTTACTATTTGACTTGAAAATATCAAGACTTAAAATTAATTGAACTAATATTTTAAAGCTTTTTGATATTAATCTTAAAATCTTCTTAAAATATTTATTATCATAGGAAAGTAAAATTTTATTATACCAATAAGATGATTTGAAATATTATGTATTCAAGGATTATTGTATTTTTATTCTAATAATTTAAGTAAAGAAAAAGAAATAAATTATTATTTTCAGCTATACTCTCAAAATCACTATCATTTTCAGAATCATTATCACTTTCATTATTAATAATATTCTGAAAAATTTGTAAAATAAGAGTATTTTCAATATTGCGTGACATTTTTTTATTATATAACATTTCAATTTATAAAAATGCATCAAAATAGTACATCTACTTTATTCAATTTTATGTACTGAAAAATAAAAATATAATTGATTGATTACAAATGCATTAAATTTGTATTAACCAATTTTGAATACCTATAATAGCAAAAAATTTTAAAAATTATAAAATAATAATTTAATAGTAAATATTTTATTAATAAATTTTAATATCATTCAAATAATTAATTTGACTTAATATTTAAAAAATAGAATAATTTATTATTGGTTAAAATGTTTATTATAATGTAATATTTTTTTAATCATTAATTTCTTATTCTGTAAGGTGATTTTAATAATTGAGCTCCCATTTACTAGTATTATAAGATAATTGTAAAGTTTTTATATAATTTTATATTATAATAAAGTATTTTTTAATATTATAATATTTTAAATACCAAATAAATGAATCATAAATCTAAAAGTTCAGTAATTAAGAAATATAATTTAAAATATTATTCTTTACAAATAGTTAAGGATTTCTTCCAATTTAAGTAAATTTTCAAATTCCTTTTTATGAAAATATTTATCTTCAAAAACTTTTGGAATATTTAAGTGTAGTTTATAAAATGATACAAATTTTCCAATTTTCATTTTTAAA